TCGGACGCTTAACCGACTGCGCCACCCAGGCGCCCCTCGAATAACCTATTTTAATTTTACCTTTACTCGCTCTTTTGCTTGTTCAGTGTCACTCTCTCTCCTACTGGACTGTTAGCTCAATGAAGGCAGGGACTTGTCTGTTTTTCTCAAAAACGTGTCCCCAGCTCCTCGTCTGACAATGTCTGACAAATTATGTTTCATGACCAAAAGCGGTCATAACTTTAAAAATAAATGAAACAGTAAAATAATGTAGCCCCTTTAGAAGAACAGTCTGGGGGCGCCTGGGTGGCTCAGTCGGTTAAGCGGCCGACTTCGGCTCAGGTCACGATCTTACGGTCCGTGAGTTCGAGCCCCGCATCGGGCTCTGGGCTGGTGGCTCAGAGCCTGGAGCCTGCTTCCGATCCTGTGTCTCCCTCTCTCTCTGCCCCTCCCCCATTCATGCTCTGTCTCTCTCTGTCTCAAAAATAAATAAAAACATTTAAAAAATTAAAAATAAAACCATTATGCTAGGTGAAAAAAGCTCATCACAAAAAGTTCACCTATTGGATGGGATTGCATTAATAAGGAATTTTCCACAACAGGCAAGTCCGTAGAATCCTAAGGTAGATTTGTGGTTGCCTAGGGCTGGGAGTGTGGAGAAGAAAGTTAACCGCTAATGAGTACTTGCTTTTTTAACAAGTGATGAAAATGTAAAATTAGACAGCGGTGGTGGTAGCTCAACTCTGGATACACTAAAACACTGTACACGTTAACAGGGTGAATTTTATGGTATATGAATGAGATCTCAAGAAAACTGCTGTTTTTAACAACGGAAATGACGGGGTCACCTTCTTTAAGCAAACTTACTAAAATCAACAAGGACATTTTAAAATTATAATAGCTTGTTTTCAAGAACAGCTCTGCCTGCCAGGACTGTGTGGCAACGTGGCTGGATGGGACAGCATGACGGCCAAGACCACTGGCCTCCTGGGGGCATCTTCTAGGGTGACTTCTGGAAGTCCGGCTTGGGCGACTAGAGTGGGGGTGGAGGGTGCCGTTGACGCCTTCAGACCAGAGAGTGGGAGAAGAT